GACTCAAAGGAGTCCCAAAGTGGTCAATGTAATTTTAAATTATCCTGGGTTATCTTGATCCAAAGATCTAACCATTTACAGTTATCCCCATTTTGTTAAGCACTTGCAAGTATCCGCTCCACTGTATGCATTGTACATGAAGCCAGCCAGAGTTCCAGGGGGAGGCTGCCTGTTCAGGAACTGGTCAGCTTTTAGAAGGGTGATTTCCCGTTTTCTTTTAGTTTTGTTTTACTATAAAGTTTGAACAATTTCTAAGGACCTATTCAACAATTTGTTCAGACTTTATAGACACAGGTCCTTCCAATTTAAAGCCAAATTAAAAAGGTCAGCCTGATATGTTCACTTCAAAGTTCATCATAGGCTCTCCTGGTCTAGGAAACTCCCCCTAGATTCCTCTTACCTAGGAAATGTACTGGTACCCCCTAAAACACCTAGTCTTAAGACTTGAAACAGCTCAAGTAAAAGTCAGGACCTACAACTTAAATAAGGAGGTCAGGTTTCAGGAGAACTCACCAGGGGCAGCTGAAGAGTGCCCTGAAGCCAGAGGGGCTCAATGGTCCCGCCTGGTACCAAGTGCCAGTTCAAAGTAGATTCCAGGTGGTCTGGTGGGTTTCTCTGATATCCCGCTGCACTACACCAAGAAATGTCAACACGAAATAACCAATAACCATTCTGTAGATAAGAGAAATAAGATCAGTTTTACTTGAGCCAGAGTGAGGATTATAAGCAGGGAAGGGCTTAGACAGTGTTCCAGACAAACATGGTTTTTGGTACAGTCTTATATTTTTTTAGAACAAAGAACATAGATTAAACACACTCAGGATACATTTTTGTAAAAGTTTCAAAGAGGTATTTAGTTGCAAATTAGCAGGTCGACGTGACCTTGATGTCCAGAAAGAGACTAATCTGGGTGTTACCAATAGGGCATAGGAGGGGAAGTATGCATTCTTATCTTGACAGTGCACTCTTTTTTCTTCTTATTTATTTATTTATTTATTTTTAATTTTTTGTTTTATTACAGTAACATTGGTTTATAATATTGTATAAATTTCAGGTGTTTGATAGGCTATAAATCAGGCTTCTCTGTTTCAAGCCAATTCAGTTTTGAACCCAAATAGTTACCCTGCATACCTCAATATATGAAAATCTCTCATCAGAGCTAATGGGAAACTAATAAAAACAAGGGAATTAGGAATTCAGGTGAAATCTGTGAAAGCTTTCATTGCTGTATTTTTTTGTTCTAATATCTCAGCCACTAAATGAAGTTGCACGGAATTATATGGAAATTAGTGGATTAGAGAGCATTTGTACACAGGATGTCTTGAATTAAAAATGATGTTAGCACTAGAACCCTTAAATAAGGTAACTTTGTGTCCCTAGTAAAATTTATAGTTTCTCCACTTTAATTTTATTCAAAAGGATAACGTAGGTTAAATTATATAGAGTTTTCTCCATAGGTCCTGGGGTTGTAAGATTATTATATAAGAAAGACAGAGAGAGAGAGAGAGAGAGAGAGAGAGAGGGAGGGAGAGAAGAAAGGAGGGAGAGGGAAGAAGTAAAAAAGGAGGAAGTAGCAGAAAAAGGGACATTTTATGAAGATTTTTGAGTCTTAAATGTTTATTATTTGAATCACTTTTAACTCTATCTTGTTTACAACTACGCCTTCCCCTGGCTTTATGTTCTTCTTCTTCAGGATTCGATCTTTTGTGGACCTGAGAGCTCTTGCTGCCTTCCTTCTCTTTCTAAGTCATCTTCCATCTTCCTCACAGCTGGTGCTCGCCATTGAGCTACTGGGGCAGATCCTCCCCTGCAGCCTGAGGGCTGAGCTACCTCTCTCCCTGGTTCCCTCCTTTCTAGAAAGTGGTGAGTCTAGCTGGGCTGCTGTTTAACTCTCCCCTTGCCAGAAATCCCTGCTCTGCTAACCCCTCTAACTACTTGCTTCTCCTTTCCCAGGAGAGAGAAGTTGGAGGATGAGACTCCAGGACCTGCTCATCCTGGTGATCAGACAGCAGTGCTGGGAGGGAGGAGCCCCTGGGGAGGGCAGGGAAAGGGTGGGAGAGCTGATTGGCAGCTCCCTGCAGGGGAGAAGCACTGGGAGCAGAGAGAAGAGACTCAACCCAGGACAAGTTCACCCACTAGGGAGCCTCCTCCTCTGTGAAAGGAGGGGCCTGGGCAGATCCCCTCTAAGGCCCCTCCCAGCTATCACATTCTGGGATTCCTGCCTTCTCCCAGAGAGGACTCTCCTGTGGCTACTTCAAGGCTTCTACTGTTTGTCTCCATCCTGCTTTGTCCCCTTCCTGTGTCGTGACAGGGACTTCCACCTGGGAGCCTGTTTAGGAAACCTTCACAGACAAGACCCCTGGCAGTCCCTGTGGTCACTTCCTCAGCCCTCCAAGGAGGGAGGGCATCCCCCTCTTCAAGCATCATCTTTAGGATCCAGCCTGGCCCCCTGTTTTCTCTGTGTCTGCTCCTGAGAGGGGTCTCCAGACCACCTGGAAGGACATCATCTCCTTCCCCCAGTGTGGAAACTTGGTCTGCAAACCCTGCTCAGGAAAGCACGCTACAGCTGTGTGTTCAGAAGCAGCTAACTGAGAACCTTGGCCAGAGCTTCTCAGTTTCTGCCTGCTTAGTAGAAAATACCAGCTTCTTTCACTCTGTTCCCCGGGTGCTGACCCCCTCTTACCCACACTGGGGGGAAATAGACAAAGATTGTTTGGTCAGAATTACTGATGAAAATCCCTTAGGAAGTTGCCACACTGGAGGCTGACATTCTCTCTCTCAGAAAGTCCATCTACATGTTTCTCCATTGGAACAGTGCTGTTCCTTTGAGCTCTAGGTTAAATAGAGCACTTCTGGTTAGTGTCTATTGCTGTGCCAATAATTGCATATTTCAACATGAGATTAACTCTGAATGCCATGATTGATTGAGATGTTGAAGAATACTTTTATTTCACTCATTACTTAATAAAAGAACCAGCAGGTTGTTAGAACCTGTTCAAAAGAAGAGGCAGAGACCACACCCATGTAGGCCATCGGGAATGCTGGAATAAATTTACCATCACATGCCCTGTGTTTACAGAGTATATGGTATTTGTGGCTACATAGAGAAAGGTGTGGAAGGATCCACATCAATAACAGTGCTTACCTCTGCGAGGAGGCACTCTTCGAACTTATACGTGAATCAATTCCATAATCCCTATAATAGTTGTTTATGAACACGTCATACTTTTACAATTACAAAGCAACTCACCAAAGAAAGGGGGAAATGCCCACAGGAAATAGACTTGATAATATAAATTTTTTTCAATCTAAGCTTGTGATAACCTGTAGCCTGTCCTTCCTCCATCTTTACCCCTCTCCCCAGCAGCACGGATGTCCTCAGGTATTTGATAGCACAGGAGCCGACAGTGGCCATGGAAGCCACCTGCTGTGGACACAGCAGTAAATTTCCTTCCAATCTCAGGACTTTGGTACACAGGAAGGCCCTGGCTGAACTTCGACTCCCTACAGCCACCTACGGGATTGCACCCACGGGTGTCTGAGCCCATCCCCAAGAGGAGACCCGGGGAAGGGGCAGCTGGTGGAGAGGAAAGGGCACCACCCTTGGACCTGGGAATGTCTGGTTCTGATCCCAGGTAGATTTGGTCAAGAATAATTATCATCATAATGAGAAGGATCACATTTATGGAACAATTATTGAGCACTGTGCTGAAAGCTTTTATCTTCTTAAACCCCCAGAATAATTCTATGAGGTAAGCACTGTTATTATTTCCATTTCACAGATGAGAAGGCTGAAGCCTGAGAAGTTGAATATCAATTCATTTGACAAAGCCAGAAAATGGAGGACCTGGCCTCAAATTAAGTCCCACTGACTCTGAAGACCAAACTTTAGACCACTCCGTTACACTAGGTCACCCAGTCTGATACCTCAGTCCATTTCAATAAAAACATACATTGAAGTGAACTGAGAGGCTATGAGGACTCTGTGGTTTCATGTGGTGAAGCTACAAGGTGGTGGAGGCTCCACCACGTGTGATAGGCCCCCTCCCTCCCTCTCTCATGGGACATGTGGTGTGGGATACAAACTCCCCTTGTTCTAAGACCCTGAGGTACTGTAATTATTTGTTACTGCAGTGCAGCCTAGCCCATCCTGGCTACTACACTGCCTAGAAGGAGGGGGCAGGAAGAGCAACCTTCATTACTGTATTAGTTATCTATTGCTGCGTAACCTGTTATTCAAAAACTTAACTCCTTAAAACAACACCATGTACAGTATCACAGCTTCTGAGGATCAGGATCCAGGAGTGGTGTAGCTGGGTCCTCTGGCTCAGTCTCTCAGACTGAAATCAAGGTCTTGGCTGGGGCTTCAGTCAGCTCAAGGCTCATCGGGGAAGAATCCACTTCCAAGCTCACTCGTGTGATTGCTGATAGGATGCAGTTCCTGTGGCTGTTGGACCGAGGGCCTCAGTTCCTCCCTGGCTGTTGGCCAGAGGCTGCCTTCCATTCTTCGCCATGTGGCCTCTCCACAGAGGAGCTGACAACATGATAACTGGCTTCATCAGATGGTGGGAGAAAGACAGTGCGAGCAAGACAGGTCACAGTCTTGTGTAACTTCCCATCACTAAGTGACATCCCATCCCCTTTGCTATATCCTGTTCCTCAGAACAAGTCACTAGGTACAGACCACACTCCAGGGGAGAGGGTTGCAAAGGGTGTAAACATGAGGATGGGTGTCTTTGGACCCACTTTGGAAGCTGCCTCCTACAGATATGCTGTTAATATGTGTCAGAAAATGTGCTGGTGCTTTTGATCCTTGATCTCATTTATTTCATACTATCATTGGACACAGGTAAGGAAACTGCAGGTTAGCAAGTTTAAGTAACCTGTTCAAGGTTACACTCTGCTAGAACCAGACTTGATTCCAGAATTGCTTCAAATTCATTGTACTAGGCTGCCTTCCAAGAATCAAGGGAGTATATTGGATGGATTACACCAAAAAGATGGGTTCTGTGGTTCCCTCTTTTATTGTTGATCAAAAAATACTCACAGTTCCTGTTTGTAATGTCGTAGGCATCTGCAGCACTGGAGTCAAGAGTTCTGGAGCACATCGTTCTGGAGGTCAGGATTCTGGGGTCCACGTTCCTCTGAAAAGGATCCTAGGAGGTTCTGTGTTGTTTCATGTAATCGAGGAGCCAGGAGTGGAGCTGGAGGAAATCTCGTGGTCCTTTGGCCCTGGCTTAAAATACAGAGTCATGCTGCGAGTCCATAATGGGTCAGAAAAGACTCCAACCTTGGTCTACCTCCAGGACAAGTACAAGCAGAGGGTCCATGTGCCCTACATAACGTCCCTGAGGATTGAGAGCTTGACCCATGAGGACAGTGGGTACTACCGGGCTCGAGCCAGCTTCACTGGCGGAGTGGAATCTACCCAGATTTTCCACCTCACTGTCTATGGTATGTGACACCCTCTCATCTCAGTCCCATGGCTGCAGCCTTCTTTTGTACCTAGGAGTGTCACATGGGCCCCATTTTGCAAGACTCCTTACAGTTGCCAGCCTTCAGGCTCTATTTTCTCCCTTGAAATTAGGATAAGTGGGATCACCACAAATGTAGAGCAGAGATGAGATTCACAACAGGGATAAAATCACTTCAGTGTTTTAGGAGAGGAAAATGTTAATTGGGGGGAAATGGAATTTTTGCCATAACACTTATTGTTGTTTATAGGGTTAGGTTTACTTAATTTATGTATTAGTTTTCTATTGCTGCTATCACAAATTAGAGTTGTCCCCCTTATCCATGGGGATACGTTCCAAGACCCCCAGTGTAAGCCTGAAACCGTGGATAGTACTGAATCCTGTATAAACTATGTGTTCTGCTAAACATGCATATGTATGATAAAGTTTAATTTATAAACTAGGCACAGTAAGAGGTTAACAACAATAACCAATAATAAGATAGAACAGTTATAACAACATACTGTAATAAAAGTTACCATAGATCTTAGCAACCTTGGCATACAATTTTTTTTCTTTCCTCATTAAGTCGGGAACTCTCACTTTTCACAGAAAGGAAGCACTTTACAGCTTCTCTTTGGCATGTTCAAATTGCCAGCATCACTGCTGTGGCTCTTTGGGGTCATTATTAAGTAAAATAAGGGTTATTTGAACACAAGCACTGCGATACCATGACAGACATCTGATAACTGAGATGACTACTAAGAGACTAACGGGCGGGTAGTGTATACAGTGTGGATAAACTGGACAAAGGGATGTTTCACGTCCAGGCGGGATGGAGTGAGATGACGTGACTATGCTACTCAGAATAGCTCACAATTTAAAACATGAACTGTTTATTTCTAGAATTTTACATTTAATATTTTCAGTCTGTGGTTGACTGTGGGTAACTGAAACTGCAGAAAGCAAAACCATGGATATGGGGAGACTGTTGTACTACAAACTTAGCAGCTTAAATCAACACAAGTTTATTATCTTACTGTGCTGTAGGTCAGAAGTCAGACATGGGTCTCACTGGGCTAAAGTCAAGGTGTTGGCAGGGCCGTCTTCCTTTCTGGAGGATCCAGGGGAAAAACATTTTCTTGCCTTTTCCACCTTCTAGTGGTTGCCTGCAACCCACCTCGTGGCCACGTTCCACTATCTTCAAAGCCAGCAATCATGGGATGAGTCCTCCTCACAGTACAACCCTCTGAACTCCTCTCCTTCCTTCTTCCACTTATAAGGACCGTGATAATATTGGTCCCATCCAGATAATCCAGAATAATGTCACTATTTTAATGTCAGTTGATTAGCAACCTTAATTCTATTACCTTAATTCCCGTTTGCCATTAACCGAACATATTCACAGGTTCTGAGGATTAGGACATGGACATCTTTGGGGGGAGCACTATTCTGCCCACCATAATTCAGAAATCCTTGTGTAATTCACCCTCCCTGTCCCCTCTGCTCTTACTCAGCCCCAGCCCAAGGCCAGCCTCACTCACAAAATCCAGCCCTAATTGCCTTCATAGATGTAGGAGAAAGTTTAGCTTGCCACAGTTCTTAAGAACCTCATTTAGGGGCTGGCCCGGTGGCGTAGCCATTAAAAGTGTGCATGCTCTGCTTCAGCAGTCCAGGGTTCACCAGTTCAGATCCCGGGCGCCCACCAAAGCACTGCTAGTCAAGCCATGCTGTGGCGGTGTTCCATATAAAGTAGAGGAAGAGGGACACGGATGATAGCCCAGGGCCGATCTTCCTCAGCAAAAAGAGGAGGATTGGAATCGGATGATATCTTAGGGCTAATCTTGCGCACAAAAAAAAGGAACCTCATTCAGCAACTCTTTCTTTCCCTATAGTTACTCTGCATAGAGAAACACCCTGCTATGGAGAGAGTAGCTTTGACAGCTTTAGGTCCCCATGGAATATCTATGACGGACTTGTAAATCTGTCACTTCTATTCCTCTCTGTACCACAAGTTCAGTGTCATGTTCTAACCACACTCGAGGCTGTCATTCCTAGTCACTACCACTGCATCTCCCACATATGACTCTACTTTTGGGCACGTGGGGCCTTTCTTTGGACTCCCAGAGCTGGCCAGATGTCCATCTTCACCATGGGGTGTATAGTCCCAGACATCATCTTAGCAGGAGAAGCAGGGGGAGGGCTGTGGATAAGGACAAGTCCTTCATTCTCAACTTCTTCTCCTTCTAGGGAAGACGCAGGTTCTAAAAATAGCGGGCCTTCAGTAGGTGGAGTGCAGGCTTTATCTTCTTGTGGGAGATTTTTAAGACTTGTTCAGTCTAGTGACATCACATAAGGCTTAAGTCAGTGGCTCCCTTCCTTCTTGTCTCTTGCTATGTATTTAGCTTTGGGCAAGTTCTATTTTATGTATAAAATGCCTCACCTTCCATAGAGGGAGGAAGCCAGAGCTTCAGTGAGATAATGGATGAGAATGTGCAAACTGTAATGTTCTCTGCTCATGTGAGGCTCCATTCTCCTGGCCCTCCCACCCGAGATCCCGTGCCCCGTCCCCAGATCCTGGTCTGGTCACTGTCCATCACAGCAGGCTGGTGCAACGTCACCCTGGAGTGCAGGGCTGGGGAGGTCACAGAGGACCTGAATGTGACCTGGGAGAGCAAGGGCCTCCCCAGGGAGCTGGAACAGAGGGGGACACCGGGACCAGCCCCCAACTCCTGGACCCTGAATGTGAGCCTGCCTCTGAGCCAGCCCAATGCCAACCTCACCTGTGTGGTCAGCAACTCTGAGGACCAGAAAACTGTCACCTCAGCTCTTGGGGAGTTCTGTGACCATGGTGAGTGTAACCTGCCAGAGGGGAGGGGTGCTCTGGGACCTCAGGGAGCTCTGGTGTCTAAGGATTCTGGGCTTTTCTCCCCACCATGTTCTTAATCCCCCCCTCCACCTGGTCACCCCATACAGAAGTCTGGGAGGCACATCCAACTCGTTTCTGCTTTCAAATGTCTCTCACGTCTCTGCCTCTGCCCTCATGCCCCTACTGGTAGGCAGCAGCTGTCCAGTCCCTCTCCCCACCCCACTCATCATCCACAGTGAGTCCAGAATCGTCTTTTGGAAAAGCAACTGGATTGTTCCATTTGTCTGTGTCACCTGTAGGATTTGATCTCCAGTGACTCCCAGTAGGATTCAGGGCTCAGACGCTCCTCTGCCCATGGTTTTGGCCTCAGTGACACACTTCACACCACACGGCTTGCTTGGGGTTCTCAGATATATTCTGCTGTTGCCAGATTTAAGCCTCTGGATATGCTGTTTCTTCTCCCATCATTCCTCCCACCTTTTCCCTTCATTTCTTGCCTTATTCTTATTGAAGGATTTCCCTCAGGCATGGCTGACCTCAGTAACATGTGACCCATGTTGTCACACAGTCCCTGTGCTGGGTTAAAGCTCTGCAGTGGCCATCTTGACATTTCTAACAATTTTTGAACAAAGGGCTCCTCATTCTTATTTTGCACAGGGCCCTGCAGGGGCTGTAGCCGTCCTGCCCTCAGACATCACCTTTAAGTAGGGTCGCTGGCCCCCCACTGAGTGGCAATGCTCTGTTTATGTACTTGTCTCCTCTGTAGCCTGGAACACCTTGAGGGCAGGGGCCATGTCTTGTTCTCCTCTGAATCCCTGTGCCAAGCACAGCTTCTGGCACAGTTTGTTCACAGTGTTTCATTGAATGAATGAATGACCTGGTACCCCCTTGTGCAGCCTTGGCCCTCTAACCTATCCTCCATGAGCTGCTGGAGGGACCTGATGTGTCAGCATCACATAAAACCCTCTGTTACCCTCCCCTCAGCCCCAGTACTGGAGCCTCAGAGAAAGATCAATGCTCAGCACGACCCACAAGACTCTCTGAAAACAGACTTCTGTCCTCTCTGACCTTCCTTTGCCAAGCTCCTCCGTGCCCTGTCCCCCTCCTGCCTGCCACAGTGTGGTGCTGGCAAATCCCAGAAGTTGGCTTTCTGACATAGCCATTTCCTGAACGTGGTTCTCCTCCCTCCTGGAATGCCATGCCCACCTTGAATATCTGATAAACTCCTATTCCTCCCTCAAGACTCAGGTTACTCATCCCCTCCTCTGAGAGGCCATCCCTGAAGACCTGTGTAGAAGGTGTAAACCTCTATTGCACTGCGATCTCTCTGGCTGGCAGACTTTGTTATTTTCTCAGTCTTCCCCCCTGGGTGATGAGCTCCAAGGGTGTGGACCAAGTCTTGTTCGTCTCAATATCCCTGGCACCAGGCAAGAGCTCGGCAACTGGTTCAATGAATGAACCTCCATGCTCCTCCTCTTCAGCTTCTGAACCAAGACCTTCAGTCTTCTCCCCCTGCTCTCTCTATCTCTTTGGGAATGGATGTCTCAGGTTCTCCCTTGCCTTAACCTTCTTCACTCTCTCTGTGTGAGGGAAACAGATTCACGTGGAGAGGCCATTGCTGGCCCCCTGCAAGTCATCCTAAGGAGCATCGTGGCTGTGCTGTTCTTCCTTGGAGCTGGACTGTGCCTTTGGAAGACACGTGAGAAAAAGAAATAGATGGAGACTTGAAGAGGCAGGTGGCACTTTTCCTTCCTGGCTCAGATACCTCCCCTCCCCCACTGGGCCCTGGGCTCCCTTTCTCCTGCATTTTGCTGCTCAGGGAATATCCCTTTGGAGGGATGTGTAGACATGGCCTTGGGGTTCATAGCAGTGTAGACATGGCCTTGGGGTTCATAGCAGTGGGGGAGGGTACAGGTTTCCAAGGCCCAGATTCAAGCTCCACTCTGTGCATGACTCAGGTGCAGAATTGCAGGAGGAACACAGGAACCAGGATGGTGACATCCAGTGTGGGGAGCTGAGCCAACAGGAGTCTCGAGAGGGCAGGGACGTGATGAGAGCTGGGAGCGGTGCCCAACCTGGACTCTCCCAGGTCCCTCTGTGCCTAGATCTGGACATTTCTGGCCCTGCCGTCTCTTTAACTCTTTCCAGTTAGTCACCAGCACTTACTAAGAAAATTTACAACTAGGGACAGTGTAGTGCTGGGCACTTTGGGGGAATTCATGTGCAGTTCCCGTCAGCAGCATTGGCACCTTGTGGGTCCCTCTGGGGCCTCTCTATCCCTCAGCTGTTCTAGGAACCCTCTGTCTTGCATTCCTAGGGTATGGTTGAACAACATCTAGAAGAAAAGGAGCCTCTCACTACTGTCTACAGTGAGGTCCAGAAGCTAGCCAGGCCATATGAAGATGATTTATTGCAGAAAGCAGGAGAATCGTCATTCCTAGGACACCTCCTCGCAGAGCTTGATCCCTGCAGACAACCCCCCCTTCCAGCTCTGGTCCAGCTCCAGCTGCCCCTGGTCTGCATTACTCTGACCCTCATATCCTCATCTCCCTGGGCACATGTGGCCCTGTCACTTCCTCTGACACCTCCCCAAGCTGCCATCCCACTCATGACCCTCACTCCTGCAGGATGAGTGCTCTTCCTCTGTCATTGACTCAGCTCCTGACCCCTCTCCTCCTGAAGCTTCCCAAAGGGGACTTTCCTGACTGTGCATGTGTTAATCCCCACAGCTTCTACTGTGTTGCTGGTGTGTGTCTTTCTGAGAACACGAGCCCAGGAGTGGGGACTCTGTAGAGGTGTTGACCATGCCACAAATGAGGGAGTGAGGCCCTTGGTGCTGGATGCTGAGAAGGGGGTCAATGGAGGCAGCACGAGTGGTTGGTAGCCCACAAAGGACTGGTCTGAGACTTCCTTTGTGCCTTGCATAGGGCTCCCTTGGGGTGTGGGGCAGTGTGTGTGTGTGTGTGCAAGTGTGTGTGTGTGTGTTGCGGAGAGTATCTAGTATACATTATACAATGGCCAGAGCCCTTGCTCTTGGCCACCTGTGTTGACCTGGACCTCAGCCTCAGCGTCAGTCCATAGGTCTCAAACCCACCTTCCTGTGGAGTGGGAAGAGGAATCTTTACTATTTCAGGCCCTTTCAAGTCTTCTGTTTCTCAGAGAATGACCACAGAGGCCTAAAGTTGGGAGTTGCATTCTTAGGAAAACACCTTCAGCTCTTCCCCTGTCCTGATTGGGGGCACTGGTAGTTAGAATAGATATGCAGTGTCTTCCTATCCACCTTGGTGGGGCTGCTATGGGGTGTGTGGGGTGAAGCTGAATTAGCCCTCTGCAGACTCTTCTGCTGACTTTCATCCCCTACAACCATGCTGGCCTCACACCCTAGGTCAGCTCCTCTTTGCTCGTTCACATCTCTCTTTTTAGAAAGACAGTTCCCTCTTCCTGTTCCTTGCTCCCATCCCTGACTGTTGAAATACTACCACCCTGCCCCAACCTCCTTTCCAAGTCACATGTCCCGGGGATCCTTTCTGGTTCCCAAAGGTTTGGAAATGGTCTCTGCCACATCTCACTTTTTCAAATACCTTGGACATAACTAAGGCCAATGCCACAGTCTGCCCTGGATTAGTCATGAGTCAGCCCTGCTGGACTAACCTGGGGCTGGGGGTCCCTCAGGAGGGTGTTGGGGCTGCAGAAGGCCAGGACCAAGAAGAACTCTCTCTGTGAAGGGTCTGGGCCACCCTTCCTCCCACAGGGGCTTATCAGACTGAGACCAAGAGCACAGAAGCTGCTGAAGATCTTTCTAGTGGTGGGTCCACATGGAAACAAGGATGGACATAATGACCTCCCATGACCCTGCCTATGATGCCTCATGCCTCACCCTGGCCCAGAGATCTGAGGTGGGGACTTCCCCACCCCACCTCCAGCCTCACATTGCCTGAGGACCTGATGCAGCCTGCACTGCGGTGTGTGGGATCTTCTTCCTCCATGGGAGTTTTCACCTCCTCAGAGCCTCTGCCTCCTGCCTTGTATCCAAGCTCTTGGGTCAGAGATGGACTAACCAGTACTATGAACTGTGGTACCTGGTCTGCCAGCCTAGATTCCTGGTGTCTGGGTTCCCCTCCCAGCTCAGCTCATCTGCTTCATCCCTGACCTCAGAAGGCAACGTTCTGAGCTACAGGCTTGAGCATTATGAAGCAATGCTAGGAGCCTGCTGGATGGTGCATGGATAAGGGAAGAGTAGGGGGATCCATAATAAGGCTGTTTCTAACTTCTTTTCCCTCAAGCTGAGCAGAAAGCTGAGAGAGAAAAAGATGGCATCTCCTCACTGGCATCCAAGGTGACCCGTCGTGGTTGGGTGTCAGTGCCCATCAGGCCAGAAGCAATAACCACCCATTGACCCTTCCCATCCCACCTAAAGCAGGGAATTAAAAAAAAAAAAAAACAAGGAACAGAACTGGAATTTCCAAGCCTATCATGAACCATATTTTATCCCTTGTTGTTAGTGCCATTGAGCTGATTCCGACTCCTAGAGACCTGGTGTACAGCAGAGCAGAAACCTGCCTGGTCTTTTTGTACCATTCTTTCATCTTGTGGTGCTGTATCAGGCAATGCTCCACTGCTATTCATAGTGTTCTCATGGCCATTTTTTTGGGAGTTGGTGGCCAGGTCCTTCTTGCTAGTCTGTCTTAGTCTGGGACACCTGCTGAAACTTGCCAACCATGGGTGACCCTGCTGGTGTTTGATATACTTTCACCATCACAGCAACACGCAGCTGCCATAATATGACAACCCACAGATGGGTGGTGTGGTTCCCTGACCTGAAAACAAACCCAGGCCGTGGTGGGGAGAGCACTGAACCTTAACCACTAGATCACCAGGGCTGGCATTTTTGTCCTAGGGATTTTAAAAACATTGTTTCTTCTAACTCTTTCAAGAACTCTCTAGTGTAGGTATTATTATACCCATTTTGCATGACATGTAACCAATGTCCCAAGCTAGCTGGTGGCAGAACAAAGCCATAAATCCAACACTAGATGATACCAGCATTCACATCTTATCCTTTACCACATGGTCATTGTAGAACTTGGAATCCTGAAATATTCAGATGGGAATATCCTCCATTTATTCCTCTCCCAAGGATCTTGGTCTTCTGACTCAGGTGACCCAACTTAGGAATCTCACCCTGATGATGGATAGAGAAGTTGATGATTGAAAGAGAAATTGTTCCTTAAGTGGACCATGGGACCTTGGTGGGCAGGAGAGGTGGAAAGAGAGATCTTGCACTCTGGCAGAGACAAAATGATGAGATGCTTCTCCGTGTTGTGTCTTGTGGGAATTCTTTCTTCTGGTCCAAGATGTGCTGTGTATTTCAGTATCCCCATCCTCAGAGCAACTCCCTTTTGCATTATTCATAACTTCATTCAATAAGTTTTCTCTAAGGTTCTCATTTAGACCTTCAACCATTCTATGTTGCAGAAATCCCCATTGTACACATGGAAAAATAAAATCCATAGACGTTAAGTACCTCACACATGTTCTCCCGAGTGTAAGTGACGTAGGCATGATTTGGGTCTGCAGGGGATCATTATTTCACTCATTTTGCCTTCTTCTCCCTCATCCCAGACAGACAACCAGTTACCATCTTCCATTGGGTTATCCTTCATAATGGTTCTGGTATTCCATCCTCCACTAATTCTTTTATTTCTATCTTCCACCGGCAGCTGCACCATTTTACATTTCTGCCAGCATTGTCTGAGGATTTCTCTACATCCTCTCCAACTCTTAGTATCTTTTGATTGTAGCCATCCCAGTGTGAGTGAAGTTGTGTCTCATTGTGGTTATGAACTGTATTTCTTTAACAATTAATGATGTTGAACATCTTTTCATGTGCCTATTGACCATTTGTATACCTTATTTGAAGAAATCTCATTCTCTCAAATTCTCTCTCGCCATGCATTGCCACCACCACTCCATTGAATCTGCTCTTGTCTAGGTCATCAGGAAACTCCATGTTGTTAAATCCAGTGGTCAATTCTCAGTCCTCATCTCCCATGACCTCTCAGCAGCAATGGACCTATACTTCCTTGAAACACTGTCTTCACCTTACATTCCCCACTCACCATTCTTTACCTCCTACTCTGTGGTTGGTCCTTAGTTTCCTTTATCAGTTTCTTTCCCACCTCTCCAACCTCTAAGATTTGGAATATCCCAGGGTTCACACCCAGACCACCCAGATCACCTCTCTTCACTACCTACACTCATTCTCTTCTGATGTTATAGCCGTGCACTAATCCCCAGAACCTGTGACTATATGACCTTATGTGGCAAAAAGGACTTACAGATGCGATCCCTTTCCTGGACTCCACATTATAAATATTCAACTGTTTACCTGCCATCTCCACTTAAATTTATAACAGGCATCTCCAGCTGGACATGGCTAAATTCAAACTCCCCTAACATGCTGCCCACACAGTTTCTCATCCCAAAAAAATGTCACCTCAATCCTTCCATTTGTTCTGGCCACAAAATCTTGTCATCTTTGACTTCAATCTTTTTCTCATACCCCACACTCTGACAGCAAATACTGATAAATTTTCATTCAATATATATATTCAAATATTTGTATGTATATATTCATAACAAAATACCTCTCACCACCCCCTGGTCCAAGTACCATCATTTCTCACCTGAATTATTACAGTAGCCACAGTCTCTCTACTTTTGTCTTATTGCCTTAACATCTGTTATCAAAATGTCATCCAGAGGGATCTTTTCAAAATCTAAGTTGCATCACATTACTCCTTAGCTCAGAACTCGCCCATGGGTTTACTTTATCTTCAAGACCCTGTACCATCTGACCTTATCTCTCATGCTCCCCTCCTCCCTTAATTCACTCTAGGACACTGGGCTCTTTGCCTTTCTTTCAGTATATCATGCATGCTCCTGCCTCAGGGCCTTTGCTCTGCCTATAACTCTCTTCCTCCAGGTATCTGCATGTCTCATTTCCTGACCTCCTTCAGGTCTTTGTACAAATGTTATCTTCTCAGTAACGTCTACCCTGACCTCCCTAGGTACAGCTGCAAACTCTTCCAGGTACCATCCTCCCTCCTCTGTGCTCTATTTTCCTTCATAGTACTTCAAAAGGTTGTGAGTCAATGTGCATTGATCTGGGCTGTAGTTTAAAGGCAAATGGGAATTGATGCCTCAATGTATAAACCGCAAATCCTATTACACAAGTACCATTACTATTCCCAGGAAACTGCAACACTGATATGTTAATGAACTTGCTCCAGGTCACATAACTAGTAAGTGGCAGAGCTGGGATTAGATTTCAGAGTTGGATTCTAAAGCCCCTGCTCTTGACGACTATATACCGGTTAAATAAAGTATAGTCCAACCACATGATGGAATACTCTAAATGTAACAGGAAGGATAAATTATATCTGTATATATTTAAGTGGGAAATTGTCCCAGAAATACTAAATGAATTATGGCACAGTATGCATAGCATTATCTTCTATTACAAATATATATAAACATATGTTTATGTCGGCATAAAGGAAGTCTAAAAGCTGATATGTCAAGAGGTTAATAGTGATTAACTTCTGGAATCTGTCACTTTTTCTGTATAATCAGATTCTCTGTAACACTTACTAGAAAAAAGATTATTAAAATTTTTGAGCAGGGCAGTGACATGAGCAGAGCTGTGTATCAGATAGATAAAGCTACATATGTGCCAACAGGAAGCCTACCGTCTTGGAAATTCATTAAAGTGTTTATGCTTGTTTTCACTTTCTATTGGATTGAATTGATGCCTTCAGAATCTTTATTGAAATAATCCCAAATATCTCTGGATCTGTCTACACAGTACAAGCAAAGTGAAAATTTTGGTCTAATTGATTCAAATGGACACTCTCCATGACCCAGTTAACAACCCTGGCTGTTCATCAGATCAACTGGAGAGCTTTTAAGAACAGGGGCTTGGACTAGATCACCAAAATAGATAACATCTGTATTTTAAAAAAAACACAATAGGTGATTCTGATGAAAGATCAGAGTTGAGAACTGAAACCTTTGGTCTACATGGAGAATTTATAAAATTCAAATGGGAATGTACATGGCAAGGAGAGACTGAGAGTTTGTCATCAAGGTGGTTCGTGGTGTGTGCTCAGCACATAGCACAAGAAATGTTGGTTGAGTGAAAGAATGAGTGAATGACGAGAACCCACATTGGAATTACTTTGATGTGTTCACCAAGTTTCAGAGTCTGACACCTAGACTCCAAACCTGAGCCCAGAATCTCTATTTCATCCATTGCCCTGTGAGATTCGCCTTGGGGATGCAAAATCTTGCTAACAAATGTCAAAAGACACTGCAAGATAAAACCAGAATGCCAATTTATTAATTTACAGTAAGGAGCACACTTGCTAACTGGGCCTGATAGTCCCGTGAGCCTGACCGGTGTGTCATCTCCCAAAGACAGGCCACATGGGAAATAAAGTGCCACTGGGCTGCTTGGTGAGCCTGAGTCAGGGCAGGTGAGTAGACACTGCTGGTCTGGACGCCAACGGCTTTGTAGTTCTTCATCTCCATGGTAGGATGTACCTGCCTGATGCACGGGATTCTCCTGCCAGCCTGACAGAACTTCACTTGTCTCTGTCACTCACCTCTCTTTATGCTCCATTTCTTATTAACCTCCTTCGGATTAACATATTTTTCTTTGGTAACGTTCATTTGCGAGATTAAGTCCTGCCTTGGTCTCTGATCTGGAATCTCTATACTTCTCCTGTGATCCAGGTATGTGACGTTTTATTTAACCTCCAAACACCAAAAGAACAAACAAAGAAATACCCTCATTTATTTCTCTCAAGTCATAGTGCAGGGAATGGAGGGAGAGGACACCCCCTCAATACACCACATACCACCAGCTGAATCGCTAAAATGCTTTTGCAAACAGACCCAAAAAGAAAAGCCATAACTGAATAATGAGATTCCATAGCTCTCAGGACCGGAGTCTTCACCCAATTTATCACTTAGCCTTTCAGTAAGACCCTCTCATATTTAAAACAACAATAACAACTAGAAAAAACTAAGAGAATATAATACGTAATTGATGTCTATTCAATTTAAAAATCTTCATGAAATGGAGAATTTCTAGAAAAAGATGAATTGCTAAAATTGATTTACATGTGTGTATAGACCTCAAAACATCAACATAGAATATATTGTAAAACTTACAGAAGTATTTTCTCTTTAAGGGCATAAGAGCCACATGTTATTACAAGTGGATTCCTTCAAACCTTAAAAAATAACAAGTTTTTGTGGTATCAAATACATTTTAAAACTTGGCAGAATATAGAAATTATCCATTTATGATTTAGAAAACTTTACAAAGCA